ACTTCAGTCGCTTTAAAGAGTATGGAATAACTGTTCGCTTGCNCCTTTTTTGACTTGGCTTGCTAACTATGTGAGAGCTTTCTCGTCGAGTCTTCTTTTTTGTATCTAGCCTTCTTAAAACTATTTAGCTGCTTTATTCGGAGTTTTGGTCTTCCCCTTCATTTCTTGCCGTCAAAACCTTCATCCCCTAAAATAGCTGAACGTTTTTGCGTTAAGGGGATTCATCTTTCGTGATATTCACAAAAAACAAGGAAGGAGTTCGGGCAATTCGGGCTGCAAAATACAGAAAAATGTGTGGCTGGAAAATATACTCGCGTACGCGCACCTTTGGCGCGGAAGTACACAAATCGAATATTCAAGTCAAAAAATGGACAAGTATGAAAATGGTGAATATAGATTGAAAGACAAATTTTGTTTCAATGATTTGCTTACCAAGTCCAATCTTACTGAAATACAGACTTATAAAGCAGGGGAACGAACTTTTGGGACACCCCGTAAAAGACACCGAAAATTTATTCCAAAGAGGTTTTTTAAAATACCATTTGAATGGGATATTTAATTAAAGAGATATATTCAAATCACATTCTCCTCCGACATTCTCCCTTTTGGTTTGATACAAAACTTATGAGAACAACTTTATAATTACTTCAGTCGCTTTAAAGAGTATGGAATAACTGTTCGCTTGCTCTACTTATATGATATTGTTCATCTGAGTGGGCAAACTAGAACGAGGACTTTGGATGTTTGTTACTAAAAGATCAAAAACACCGAACGACGCGAGCTGTTTTTTTCTAAACTTGTTTTGTTTTTTTTGTTTTGTTTTTAAGGTGAACTAGAAACTTGAAATGTTATGCTTACCTCTTTGATAATTATGTTAAGTTCAAGAAAAGAAAATTCCGTCAGATGGAAATCTCCTCCTCTCTATAGTTCATTTCAATTTCTGAGGCTAGCCTCTTGAGGTACCGTGTAGAATAAATTACGGACTCGACATTTGCAAGAATTGTCAGTAGCAGAGAACAAAATATACGCAAATCCCCTTTGCTGCTAGAAGGCGTCTTCCGATACACGATGTCCAATCGGCCGGTACCTCTCTAGCAGGTAACCAATCAGATCACTCGCTTATTCTCTCAGAAGCTGATCAAAGTCTACCGACACACTGAAATATATTCAACAGAGTGCAAAATTTTCACTCCTCTTGCCAGACCCTGTCCAGTTATTCCCTTAGAGCAACTTGCAATCTTTTCGCACAGAAAGTAGGCTGTGTTCTCGGCCAATTCTCCACTGATTTTGACAAATAAGACTTCAAAGTATTTTCCTCCGTCGTTGACTGTCAACCACCCAGGCATGGAAGGTTCAACCTTACAAGGCCTCAGTTACATATCGATGGCTTCAAATAACAGCATTCTGCCCAGAGCCATTTTCAGCTCAGTTCCTTGTGTCTCTATCTGGGGAGGATCGATGAACGATGCAGAGTGTGTATCGCAGCAACTAATACAATCATCCGAAAATCAGCTGACTCAAGGGGAAAGTACAAATGGCGGGTGAGTCAAGAAAAACATGTTTCTCTCAAACAAAAAAACACCGCCAGCCCGTAACAGATCTGATACCCATTTTATACATAGATCGATATTGGTTACTCGCAATTCAACGTTTTTCAAATCTTGAACAATCTGTTAACCTGTTTATATTTTGGTTTAAGTGCCGTTCAAAAAAATTTCATGAGCTTTTTTTGATACTTCTACAGATTTTTTTTTTTTTCAGAAGATGAATTTTTGAATTGCTAACGTCAGTGCCTTTAGGAATTTTTTCATTTTGACGATTGTGATTTCTCATTTGACAAGAACTTGAGACAATTTTTCATTCTGCTCGAGTGACACACTTCATTAAAAGAAAACAAGATACAACAGTAATTCTTTTTCTCTTGCCGAATTCATGAAAAACACTGGGCAAGGATGAACCGAGGTTACTTAATATTTGTGCACTATTACAACACGATCTTTTGGTCCGGTCCTCCTCTCTTAACATTTATTTCCCACACTTAATACAATTATTCACAATTCGCCCATTTTCTTTGTTGTTGATGTTTTGTTTTTAATGATATTTAGTCAAACATGAATGTTATTTTCTCATAAAGCTTGATCTTAGAAAAAGAAAATGAAATGAAATGAAAAGGAAAGCGCAAATAGTAAGCATTAAATTCGAATACACTCCTCCTATTTTTTTTCTTCGCCAAATAAAATAATAATTAATGATATAAAAAAATCACCATAACTATGAGAATAAATAAATCGAATTGCATCCGAGTTATGCCCTTATTTTTATTTTATTTTATTTTATTTTTCATTCGACATCTCCTCTTCGAATCTAAGAAGTAATTCCGTTCATTTTCTCAGCTAGCTGTAATTCTTTTTGGTTGAATAATTGGCAAATTTAAAAGATATGACCTTAAAATTGTTGCGATTTTGGTTACGCTATTTCTTCCATCCTTACATGGCCTCGGTTACATATCGATGGCTTCAAATAACGTGTCTTTTCTCGAGAATAAATTTCAAATTTAATATTAATCAAGATCAATTATCATCTCGAGCAACCATGAGATTAATTGAGGAAAAACGTATAAAAGTGCGTAAACGCCAAACGGAAACACTCTCCGCTTTCCTCTGATTCCCCTTGAAAATCGCGACGTATTTCTACATTCTATCTTATATTATTTACCCTTTTGATAGTACTGACCACTTACTTTGAGGTATGTCTAGTATCAAAATAGGAATGAAGGCCACCGACGACCACAGCGTTTCATTTCACTGAAGAGTTCCGTAATCAAAGATATTTGGTTGGAGTAAATTAGTTGGTCACCCCGGATGATTTTTTTTTAACCAGTTAATGTGTGCGTGTCCCTGGTGCATGTCCCTGTATGTCCCTGGCCAGTTTGATAGCAAAACAAGGTAGTCGCTTGAGTAACAATTAATTTTGAGTTTCCTATGAATAAAATGGCTATACATTTTATTTGTGATATTTCATCGGTCCTGCAATTACGTACTACTTCCCAGCAGTTAGGTGGGGAAAAAAATTACCACCGACTAGCAACACTGGAGCAAAAGAAAAAATGATTTCGTAGACTGAAGAAAGGAAAGGCGGAATCAAGCGAGGGTGCGGCCAAGCGATGTGCTAATTACATTGTGAGTAATCGAGAGGGCCGGGCGATCACATGGCGGGGCTATCAATCAAAAGCATCCAGTAATATGATTGGTTTAAAATTAACAAAGTACGCCTGAGGCCGCAGATCGTTCTCTAAGGCGCGAACCATTTAACATGTAACTTTTTTTTTACGGGGGGGGGGGGGGGGGGGTTGGTAGGGATTGTTGTTTTAAAAGTTTTATTTTTCTATATCTCAAACTATTTAGCCTATAGTTTTCATAGCTTTTTTTCAAACAAGACATTAATTTTTTTATGAATAACCGCAATATATAAAACACACA